AATCCCCGATGATCGTAGCTTGATTTTGTTGTTGTCTCGACATTTTCTTAACATAAATAAATTTTTAATTTAGTGGGTCTGCCTTGCCGTCGAAAGTTGGGGGTTTGTAGTGACGAAACTGTTTCACGATTGAGCTGATATTGTTAGCGTTTGCACCATGGGAACCAACTTGTGATTGTTGCCTACCCAAGTCTTGTACCGCCCTTAGCAAATCCCTGATTATCGTAGCTTGATTTTGTTGTTGTCTCGACATTTTCTTAACACAAATAAAATTTTAATTTAAGAATGTTTAATAAAACAACATAATATTATTAATAATCTTTGTAATAACAAAAAATTTTAAAAATATAAATTTTCAAATCCTTACATATAGTAATGTGCTCTTCAAAATCAACTAAACAATTAAACTTTTCCTAAGTAAATAAATAACACTTAATCCTAATCCCTGTGAGTCCTAAAAAAATATTTTTTTATGGCATCTCATCATCCGAAGTAATGCATGACTCTGACTCGTAATCTGCAATGAAATCAACGAAATTTTGTGGTTGGATTTCCTGCTCAAGGTCTTTCAACTTTGGTTCGATATCTTCCTCTGGGTCCTCTTCCGGCTCTTCATCCGGGTCCTCCTCTGGCTCTGGCTCTGGCTCTGGCTCTGGTTCGAGTTTGGGTTAGGGTGCTGGTGCTTGTTGTCTGTGATTCCATAAAATTATGATATCTTCACAGTATCTTTTAAAATCAATCTTGTCTCAATCTTCTTCCAAATATAACTCATAATCTTAAGCCACGTCTCTCCATTGAAGTCGCATAGTGCTTAAAAGGTGGTATATTGAGAGGATTGTCCCTTCATTATATCCAAATGATCTTGCTCGCTCCCACTTAGAAAGGAAATTTTCAACATGTTCAACAAAAGTTCGCTTCCATCTTACTTCATAATTTATGTAGTTCTCAATAGCCATTTCAGCACGCTGGAGATAGGTTGGGTAATTTCTAGTCATCCTAATCACGTGACAATTATAATTTCAATTATGTTTAATGTTGCATTATCAGTATTTTTTTAGTGTATACATGATATTCTAGTAAAATGTAAAAATGACAAATATATTATGCGAGGTGAACACGCTTATACATTTCATAACATATAGAAATATGACTCATAACCATGCTAGAAATTAAGAACGAAACGAATTCATTTCATACCCGGGATCAACTGGAGAGTAGTCGAATGGTGAGCGCCACATGCCAAGTGTTCTTATAACATTATTTATTTTTAAAAAATTACATTATCCTTTAAACTCCCTATTTTCTTTTCCTTTATTCTTCTTCTCTCTCTCTCTTTTTTTTTTTAATAATTTGACTATAATTATTTATAAATTTCTTAGAATAGAAAATGTCCAAGAAGTAAAAGTTCATAACAACGGTATCGTTATTTAAAATCACGTTATAAATGGTTATTTAAACACAAACATATAAAACATACATATACATTATTGAAAATAAAATCATAGTAATGACACATAATTACTAATAGAGTTAGATAACAACCACGTAGTATTTTAAGAAATTAACTTATATTATAAAAATTAATATATACTAACATTTGAAATGTTGGTTTCAAAGTATGTATACAACTTAATTAAGGCATGTAATCTCATTTTACATAAAAAAAATTCACAAAATCTCACTTTATAATATATTATTATTATTATTATTATTTTTATTATTATTTTAAGTACATGTATACATCTTTTAATAAAATTTTCTCAAAATAGAAGTTTCAAAATTTTGAATTTTCTTAAATTTAGAATCGTAAAAAATATTGTCTTTCATCTTGTCGATTTGAATAACGCACAATCAAAAGGCTTCCAGATGAGGAGAGGGGTCACAGACGGATCGCTTAAATCCCAAACTTTTATTAGACAGTTTAGGTTTTTTTGACAAAACCTTTCAATTTTACAATTATGCAATTTAACGAAATTCAAACAATAAATCGAACGTGAAATCTCTTAAAATATCAGTTTTTCAAAGGTCCCCTTTTTTCAAAAAATAAAAATAAAAAATCCCCAAAGGCTAAAGTTAAAACACATAAAAATTTATCATATGTAAGATTTAAACCATAGGTATGAAACTATAACAATTTAAAATTTAAATTATTATTACTCGAAATCAATTTAAACAATCATTTATTTTTCAAAATAAAGAGACAAATGCATAAGAATAAATGGGTATTGATGTGAATGGTAATCCAAACTACTATAAAATGTGACAAAATCTATAAAAAATAAAAAATAAAAAAAATTACAATATTCAAAGTATGTTACATCATAATTAAAATTCTAGAACTCTTTGTCATGTCATGTAAAACAAATTTTTTTGAGTCTTTACTGTTATGCGAACAGTAACACTGTTCAATTTTATATTTTTTTTCAAAACTTTTTTTTATTATTTTTTATTTTTACTGTTCAAGTGAACTGTTCAAATTTTTTTTTTCCAAAATAAGTCTACAGAAAAGTCAAACCTAACTTGATACCAAGCTGCAACGCACCAATTTTTTATAAACTCCGGAACTTTGCGAAAACCTCATTTTTCTTTATTGAAAGTGCAGAACTATAAAAATAAAATTTTTTATTCAACAAATAAGTGGAATATTTAGGGGCCGTTTGAACCCCATTATTTGTAGATTATAATGAGATGAATAGTATTTTTTTTTTAAATGAGATGTTGAAAAGTTTTTGATTTACGTGTATTATTAAATGATTGTGTGGTTAAAACTAATAGAGAGAAAAACTTAATTTAATGTAATAAGGAATAATGGAGCTCAAACGGGGGCTTATAAATGTAAATTTAAAATATGAAAATCTTATCTAAACATAACATAAATTCTTAACTAATTCAAATAACGCGTTTGGAACAAAATTTAAACTAATTGATAAGTTTAAAGACAGCAAACTCATTTATTTTTCTTTTCATTTGATTCGCTTGGCAGTCCGCATCACCGTCATTCCACAATTCCAATCGACCCGAACTAACCTGTAAAAATTTGTAAGAGTGAGTATTCGAAAATACCTAGTAAGATATGTGCAATTTCCATATACATAGATATAACAATAAAAATTACAATTCATACCATTTGATTTTATGGAGTATACCGACGATTAAACGACACACCCATCTTAGGTCCTCTTATAATCCCGTAAGATTTCATATCTCTTTAAAAAAACGAATGTTTACCGACAATCTATGCATTTTTTATTGGACATAAATTCATAAGAAAATAAAAATACTTGCACTTAAAGTATCTTACCTTGTTAGAAAAATCTGAAATACGTTCAAAATCTTTTCTCCGCTTTGAAAATACGTGATTAAAATATGCAAACTTTATTTCCAATACTGCCTTCTCTCTCTCTACCTACCATATGTGTGAATTGTTGCGAGTAAAATTTTTTATCATGCCTATATATATATAAGTGTAGGCTAGAGTAGATAAACCAAAATTTGATTTGATAGGGCCAAATTTTGCAACCAATGTCTACTCACAATGTACTTTATTATTATCTTATTCAACTACAAGATATCCACTATCTCCATCCAACCGTATATGGGTGTATATTGAATTTTGTTGTAACTAGAATATTAGAATATTGAAAACACGTGCCATCCTAGGAATTTCTAAATCAAAACTAACAAATAATGATAAAAATCACACCTCACCCGTTTTCTTTTTGGAGAGAGAAAAATAAATTGATTTATAATCTATATAAAATTACATTTATACTATTTTTTTCAATTGGGTGTAACTTAATGTGTCATTATCAAATATAACTTTTCTCAAGTCAAAAACTTCTAATTAATTACTAGCTTTCCAACGAATACAATATTAATATACTTATAATTGCTCTATCAATTTGAGCCAGATAAAATAGAAATTTATATAATATACAAAATAAATAAATTTTTATCTATAAAATTTTTGGGTTGTTTTAGTGGTAGTTTGCATCATGCACGAGTCACGTGTCATTATTAAAATTCCCTTTTTTTTGTTATAATAATTTTGATATTTATCATGCACTTCGATTTTGGTCCCGGCCATATTTGGCATATTCGACTTATCCCAGGCCATGGCTGCACACCATTTTTAATAAACTATCCCTACAATATAAAATAGGCAATCCTGGATAGTATAGAAGCAATAATAAATTCCTCTATTTTGTCACACTCTAGCACTTTTTTTTTTTTTTTTTTTTAAGTGGGGTAGCAAAAATAGCGTCGTTTATCTTACATGTTTTATATATTTTATTACACCATAAAAGAGGCAATATGAATTTACAAGCAATTTTTCATACCTTTCACCAACTCTCCTCTTCCTCTTCGCTCCATACTCAACCACTCTTATAATTAAAAATATTAACAAATGAAAATACTAATAATAAGACAAAATATTTTTAAAATGTAAAAAGTTACTTGTAAGTAGAAAAATTTACTTAAAGTTATTTAAAAGTAAAAAAAAACTTATAATTGTAAAAATTTCTTACAAGTAAAAAATACTAGGCCTGTTTGGCACCCATTTTTATCAAAATGCATTTTTCTCTCTCTTTTTTTCAACCACACATTCTTTATTAAAATAATATTACACGTAAATTAAAAACTTTTTCTTATTTTTCAACCACACATTTCCCATCAATTTACTATTCAAAAATTCATTTTCACATAAAAATTCCTACCAAACAACTTAAAATTTTAAATAGATATTTAGATATATTTAATTTATTAAATTAAATGTTAATAAAAAAAATTACTATAAATAAAATATGTAAAACAAATTAATCGATTCCTGTAAAATAAATTTTTTGTTACGTTAATTTGTTCTATATTTTTAGAATAAAACATTCATTTCAATAATAAAATTGTATTATACACCATTCGATTAATTAATTTCTTTCGTTTTTCCTTCGCATCATTAGATTGTATACAATTAAAAACACACATGAAGTTAAATAAAATTATGGCAATAAGAGCGAAGATGAAAAAAAAAAAAAAAGAAGAAGAAGAAGGAAGTGTCTCCGTGCACAGAGAACTGCTTCTCCGTGACACAGAGAGAGCACTCCGTGTGACAAAGCTCTATTTTTTTGTTTTTTCCTTCCTTCTCTTTGGCGATCCATTTATGTAAATCTGTTTGTTATTAGAATCCATCTGGGCTCTTCTTCAGTAAGTCTTTCTAGTCATTCGTCTCCAAGATTCGACCTTTTATTCCTCTCTCTAACCCCGTTCATTTATCTTCCAGATTACTTCTCTATCCACTTTCTTCTTTCCGCAGTCACACTCCACGCCGGCTCGCTTATTTTATCGCCAAATCGTCGACATCGATTGTTGGTTTTTAGTTGCCAACACCGGTCGCCGATTGTCTACGGTAAAGGATCGCTGCCGGTAAGTCCTCAATCTTATTGCTGTATGGTTCAATTTTTTTTTCTTTTTTTGGATTTTTCTTGGCTACATGTACAGTCATTTGAGCTTTGGAGCCATCTTTGGTTGATTAGTATTGCGATTGTTGTATAAATTGGGGTTTTTTCTTTGTTTAGATATGGTCATTTGAGCTTGGGACCAATTTTTGGTTGATTATTATAGGATTTTTTTTGGGGGTAATCTGTGGGAGGTTTTTGGATGGGTTCGAAGCATCAGGCATCTTCCTAATGTTTATCGCATATTGTATGGAAACCTTTAACATATTACATATAGATTTCTTCCCCACATTTTTTTCTATTAAAAATTCGATTGGAGTCCAAATTGATTTAAGATCAAAAGAAGAAAGGGATATAGCCACCTTTTAGTCTCTCTTTTAAGAGGGACTATATCATTACTCCCCTTTGACATTTTCAAGAGCTTGTCATTATGAAAACCCTTAAAATTCTTGAAGTTGTATGTAGTTGAACTCATGCAGCACCAATAGAACTATTGAATAGAACGCGAGAAAACCAAATAATAGGAAGAAGAAATTAGGGGAAGGGATGACAGAAGGGGAAACACGGTAGGAGAAGGAGAAAAATAATGGAGAAGAGAGTAGTAATTCGCCACAAGCCACCAATAATTATTCTTGATTCATCAAAATTAATGAAATTATATCGCAATTAGGTTTAAATAGTAAAGACTAAAACCCTAAGTAGAAGGACTTGGGCCAACACAAGTCCAATTACATAAATAAAGTCTAAAACATAAATAAAGTCCAATTAAAAATAAATAAAAAGTAGATGTCCTCATCAATTCTCCCAGGGTGGGAGAAAAACTCGACCTTGTCGAGTTGATAGATAGCATAGGCTACAGTCAATTTGATACTCCAAATGCGTCAAGTCAAGCCACGGGGAAGATCTTTCTGACGAATCAAGTAACGAAATTCCATGATTGATAGTGCTGAAAACTGTAGCTTATTCCCAAGAATATGATCTGATCAAGGGGGGCGATCTTTCCTTCTAACCAAGTACTGATACTGGACTCAAATAACCAATACTCATGCACCTCATCTTCAAGATTTTCACATGATTGTATATAATGACGAGCATAAGAAGCACGTCAATCTACCCATCAAACAAGGAAGTACTGAATCTTGCCATCATTGATCAATACAACATGTTCATCTAAAATAACATCAATTTTATCTTTTTGTGCTGTGATAGATGGTATTGAAGTAGAAATATTAACATAGTCAAGTTGGAGGTCCATAAAGCTAAATAGAAATAGATCATCAAAGGAAGTAACACGGTATTTATAAGTAATGAAGTCCTCAATATTTAAAGTAGAGTGGTAACCAAAATGTGATGAAAGCGCAATGACATGTGTATTTGAACCAACATGCTTTAAAATTTTTAAAGGACTAGCATTATAAGTTTGCAATATAACATAATCCCCAATATTAAATTCAAAATATCGTTCATGCGAATTAGCTTGAAGTTTATATAATGTATTATTTGCGTCATGTTGTTTATTGATCTCAATATACAAGTCATGAAGATGACGTACAAATGCCTCAGCTGACATAGACATACTAGTATGTGGAGTTATTGGAATAAGGTCTAAAGGTTTTCTAGACTTATAACCATGAATAACTTCGATGGAACTCGTATCGATAAACCGATGCACAAAATTGTTATATGCAATTTGAATTGTTGGGAGGATCAAATCTCAATTCTCAAGAATTTCCTTGAAAAGGACATGATTACACAAATCATCCGTACCTTTGGGTTGGCAAAGAGTATGACACACAACATTTAACTGAGGGGTATCGGGAACAAGGGGTACAACCCCTAGATTCATAGGAAAAGTCCCGATACTATATAAGGAAGTGTCCTCCATATTATTCAAGTCATCACATTCTTCAAATTTAGGTTCATAAATTTGATCTTTTAACGACTCTTCTATTACATTCTTTCGTTCTTCTATTACTAAGGTTCGGTTACGACATTTGGAAGAGATGTGGCCAAAATCCTTACAGTTGATGCATAGCAGGTGAGAAGAAGTCCCTGGAGTTACAAAAATTTTACCCTTATTTTCCAAGATTCGAGGAACATTTACCTATAAAAAAAAAAAAAAAAGATTTGAGGAACATTAGACGGGGGAGGTCCTAGAAGAGACTTAACAAGAGGAGGTGGAGCCAATGGGACGGAAGAATGGTTGTCAATACGCCTTCTATAAGGAGAAGGGGGAATTGGACTGTCACGACCTTTACACTTATTTTTTCCAAATGGGAGGAATACTAGATGGGGAAGGCTTTATGATAGACTCATTTTGAGGTAGCGCTAATGACATGGGAGAACGATGGTGGTCGCGCTTTTCATATGGAGTACTAATAAGTAACTCGTAGTCCCGAGCTGAAGAGTAAGCTTGATCATGAGTAGTGATGCTTCGAAAGAGAAGTTCACGCCTAAGTTCATCTCTTAGACCTTGTATAAACTTACTTAAAGTCAGGGCCTCATCCTCAACGACATGACATTTCACTCGAAATTCCTCAAATTGAGCAATGTACTCAGTCACTAGCCGATTCCCTTGTGTAAGGGTGTTCATTGGGTTAAAATTTCATGATCTAAGCAACAATCGAAAGTAGGAGTATCTAAGTCAATGTCTCTAAAGAAACGCTCCTTACGACGAGGAAGAGAATGAGTACCATGATGACCATGACCTTGTTCTCGCTCACGAACCTGATCCCTATTCTTACGATCGCGTAAAAAATATTTTTGATCACTTTGTCCACGATGATATTGTCTATTATAAGAAGCTTCAGAATTAGTGTCAGTCAAACTAGGGGTTTGCTTAAAATTGCTCAACTTAGCAGCTAGGTTCTTTCTCTCCTCACGAGTAGCAGTTATATCTGATTGGACAATCGATAGGCTAGTGGCAAGTTGAGCTAATTGTCTAGCGAGTGCATCAAATTGGGATGGATTCATGGTCAATGTATTGGAAATAGAGATGACAAGATGACCACTACGCAACTACATGTAATGTTTTTGATCACTTTGTCCACGATGATATTGTCTATTATAAGACGCTTCAAAATTAGTGTCAATCAAACTAGGGGTTTGCTTAAAATTGCTCAACTTAGCAGTTAGGTTCTTTCTCTCTTCACGAGTAGCAGTTATATCTGATTGGACAATCGATAGGCTAGTGGCAAGTTGCACTAATTGTCTTGCGAGTGCATCAAATTGGGATGGATCCATGGTCAATGTATTGGAAATAGAGATGACAAGATGACCACTACGCAACTACATGAAATGTAATACCAGTTAAATGACGTGCTATGATGAGACCAGAGAACAATACGTGCAAGCAATGGAAAATAACTTGTACCGTTTTTTTTTTAATTTAATTTTAAATGTTGGGATTAATTAAATGTAAAACAAGCTAATACTGCTGGTACATGTAAAATGATAAAGCAAGGGTCAACACACTACTCAAATTCTCCAATCAATTTAAGTGGGGAACAATGGAAGTCAATTCGGTCACTGGTATCAATTCGATTAATGGTTTTGATCAAGTGGGGTCTAAGGCTAAAATTATCACGATACAGCAGCACAAGATTTTAATTGATGCAATTTTAAAAATGAAACAGTAGTATAAACCAATATTAAATAGAGATCAAGGACTCCCTGTTGTTTAGTTTTGATTATTTGTATGCCGATTGATTTGAATTGCCGACTTATGAGTTCTAACTATGCTTCTGTTCTTCCCTTCGTGTCCAATGGTTTCAGCCCCTGTTGACTGTAACTTGTGTTGGTTCTGGTGTGGACTTAAAACTGAGTGTGGTGACTGTGGCTTTTAGATTGTTGAGATGGACGAGGAAATATATGAATGTGGTAACTATGGTGGAAGTGTATGATCTTGGGTTGGTGGTGGCGGCGGCCTATAGCGATGAAACTGTAGTGCTCTGGATGCCTGAGTACAATAGATAATGAAGTGGCGGCGTGATGGTGATTAGAGGTGGCGGCGGCGGCAAGAGAATGGTTGTGAGAGAGGAATCGGGTAAAACTGTGGGATATTTGATGTTAATGGATTGGTTATAATCTGGCTTGGTCGGATATTTGGGTTTAGGCCAGATGGGAAGGGGTTTGGATCTTTTTATAGAGATGGGCCAGCTGGGGTTAGTGTTTGGGGAGTGGGCCTGGATCGTAGAGAGTAGGCTGGGTTCGTTGGGTTAAATGGAATTGGGCCGTGTGTAAGTAGGATTGAATGTTAGGGTTGGAATTTGTGAAACAACACTACAATTGTATAGAAGAAACAGTAGCAAACGAGACTTTTTTTTATTTTTTTATTTAAGTTACTTAAAAGATGAGAAAAAAAAATAGAAAGAAGAAGCAAGAAAGAGGGGAAAATCGGAGAGAATGGGGGGAGAAATCGGAGAAGAAACAGAAATTCATGGGGGAGAGGAGGAGGGAGAATTGAAATTGTAGAAAAAACATAAACTGAAATTTTCGCCTGTGAACAGTAATGTGAGCAGTAATTTTTTTTTTTTTTTGGCAACTCTACGATAGAAATTTGAAGGAAAAAAATTGAAATTGGGCGTAAACAGTAACCCCTTTTTTTCTCAACCTTGTGTAAAAGAGATCAGTCTTCCTTGTCAATGAATGACTTGTTCCTTTTTGGAGATGTTCAGTCTTTCCCAATAAGTGTTGAAGTTAGATTCCACCTTTATTCTTCTACCGCTCCTGCTTTCCCTTCTCCCCCGGGAGATGAGTCATACCAGTTGATGCCACTAAGGCGGGGAGAAGACGGAAGAATTGAATATCTGTATCAGAAATTCCTCGAATTGGTTTGCCATTTACATAAAGGAAACCAACTCAAAATCTTAAGGAAGAGGAAACCAAAGCAAAGAGGACGAGGTCCAACTCAGGATCAACTAGGATAGAAATAAAGCATTGGTCGAACTCTTCTTTGGTGTCAAGGTAAACAGAAAAATTCCCAATTCTCTGGAAAAATAATAACTCGGCTGCTCACGTTAAAAGTTTATTTGTTTGTGCTATTCCACAAGTTATTGGGAAAGAAATAAGAAGAGATTTTTGGATTGGAGATGAGAGATTACCCAAGTTTAGGCTCTGATACCAAATTTGATGTAACACCAATAGAACTATTGAATAGAATGCGGGAAAACCAAATAATAGGAAGAAGAAATTAGGGGAAGGGATGACAGAAGGGAAAACACAATAGGAGAAGGTGAAAAATAATGGAGAAGAGAGCAGAAATTCGCCACAAGCCACCAATAATTATTCTTCATTCATGAAAACTAATGAAATTATATCGCAATTAGGTTTAAATAGTGAAGACTAAAACCCTAAGTAAAATGGATTTGGGCCAACACAAGCCAAGTCCAACTAAAAATAAATAAAAAGTAGATGTCCTCATCATGAACTTTAGTTCTTTGTTAAGAAGAAATAAAAATACCATTAAAAAGCAATCCATTTTGAAAAAAACTCTTGCTGCTTTACATTTTGTTATCCAAGTCAACTAGCAATAATATATCGTGAAATTAAAATAAGTATGCTGAAATATTTATTTGGATTCTTGCTTTAACTTTAATAGAATTAGTACATTCCATGAGAAGACTGTGTTGGTAAAAACACATTAAATTAGTTTATTGAAATTGTAAAATGATCTGTACATTGCACACACATAATATTTCAATATGGGTGACTTGTACTTAATTGCCGTGCGGTTATTGGTGTTGCTAAATTAACACTTGTCTTCCTCAAGGCACAATATAGTAGCAGAAGGCACTTACTATAAGATTTAGTGCTGGTAACTGTTTTAGGAACAACAAGTATAAAACTGTTTACGTTAATTATAATCATAAACATTAAATAATAACAATGATTGTGGAGGTGATTACGTGTCACATTGTTACATATGGTTATGTTTGAATCAAACTTATATGAAGCCATGCTTATATTTGCACTTGTGATGTCAGAAGATTCCATTAAGATGGGGTTTTATCTAGATCAAATTTATGCTTTGTGCTTTATGCCATGCGATTTTCTGTTCAAGCAAATTCACATTTTTCTTCCTTTTTCTTATCTTTATTTTTTTAATCTAAAAGGCATTAATTACATCTACATAATACGGTTTTGGAAACTATACACTTATGAGATGTCTCTTTTCAGTTTTTCACTGCAAAACCTCTGCCTTGTGACCCTCATCTTTGCCCAAATACCCTTCTAGCATGGAGTTTGATGCCAAGGTTCACGATGTGGAGGCAAGAATGTGCATATTCAATCTTATCCTTATGAAATTTTGAATTGTGATTTCTGCCTTTTGGTCAGTATAGATTCTAAAGAAGAACTTCTGGTGGCATTGTTTGTCAAGATGTCTTGTGCTTGTTGTGTAATGACGCAGTGTTCCGTGGCTTGCATGTTATATCGCACGTTGAAAGAATCATTGAAATCTTGGTCATGATGTATATTTTTGTTCTTTTGATCAAATAAAATACGGACACCTATAATAATGTTCATGAAAATCCCTTGAACTTGTCACCAGGCAAAGAGCTGCTGGTGGAAAAGGAGGTGGAGTTGAATCCAACAGAAAGGGGTCTAAAGCAGTGCCAGCCCCTGATGCTAATGCTGAATTACAAACTTCTATACAGGTATTTTTTGTTTTATA